TTTAGAATCCCTAGAGGATTAGAAGGAATCCAAACATATGTGATTTATTTGTGTTCAATTTATTCATCTATTTGACTGTGCTCTTGATGGCAGAATGTCTCGGGGACGAATCAATGAGGCTTTCAGACTTGATGACAATACTCTGGAGTTTGAAGGTCTTCTTCCAACACTGGCATCACCTTATGAACCACCTGTCACCGTCTGGCTAATACTGTTTGGGGTGGTCATGGGCGTAATTGTGGTTGGAGTCATTGTCTTGATCGTCACTGGGCAGAGAGACCGAAGAAAGTAAGTAATATTTTAAATAATATATGTCAGCTGTGGGAGACCTGGAAATTCAGATGAGAACAAATGTTTTTGAAACTAGTCCTGAACATAGGTGTTCAGCAACCCTATTAATTTTTTTTGGAGGGAAGCGTTTCCAAGCCACCCTAATGCACTGAAAGAGCTGATCTATAATGTGATTTGCAAGTCTTTTCTTCATAAGCATAATTTGACCCATAGTTTTGATCTGAAACCAATGTAATGATTGGCTCATTATTTTACAGTTTTTTTGTGTCGGTGGCATTTCTACAAGGTACCTCCTCCTATTCCTATTAAAGTCAATAGGCCCATTTTGGCAAAATGAGTCACATGAAATTAATTTTTTTTTTGCAGTAGTCTCTTGTTAGAATTCAGAAGAACTTAATCAAAGCAGAGGCTCAGCTTCTTATGTATTAACACAGTCTTTTTGCTTTTAGGAGAATGAAAGCAGGCACAAATGAATTAGTACAAACCAACGCCATTGACCCTGAACTTGAGAATGGAGAAGTCAATCCAGCTTTCATAAAACACGAAGAGCGCCAAACATCATTTTAGAAAATAATGTGGATTCTCCAAGTTTTTGTTTTCATTTAGCTTTAACAGCAGTGCATTGAAAAGGCCAAATAATTCAGATGTCATTAAACATTACGGGTTCTTCTGATATTTTCAAGATGCTGTCTGTGTGCAGCCTGAGGCAAGTTAAGTGAGGTATTTGACATCTCTGTGTTCAATAGGTGATGCACAAATACACAAGAGGTACACTGTGTGGCCTTTTCGTGAAATGTATTTACTATATCGCACTGTCACTCATGCTGCTATCCATCAACCAATTAGTTGCAATTTTGCTGCATTTCCTTTGTTTCTAAAGGGTTTTAACTTAACAGTTTCTAGACCAAGAGCAGATACATAAGCAGAACTGAAAAATAAAGTGCTTCCTCCAGATGATGATAAAGCTGTCCGACAGGAAGAAGGAAAATCAGAACCTATCAAGAGAGGGAGCTGAAAAATGACCTATTCATCAGTGGTCACACACTGAGTATTTGAGGAAGCTCAGCTTTGGAGAATTCACTTTGAAATGACAGGAATATTTGTACCTTCAAAGTACCTTACACCATATTAACCCAAAAGAGAAAGAGAAAGAAGACAACCAGGTACATGAACTTGGTTAAAATGTAGTGGTGTATGTAATCTGCCCAGTTGGTTGGCCTGGTAAATACGGTGTTGAGGCCAAATAGCAAATGTCCCCTGACCTCCCAAATTAGCTTTTTGGATTATGCTTCCATCTGAAAAGGAAACCTAGTATATAACTGTGTTTTGGAATAAACAATTCTAATAGAAAGAATCAGAACTTGAATTCTAATTAAAAATACTTCAGCATTTGGTTCTATTATTGGCCACTTCCCCAGTGATAGCAGTTAGGTCATCATAATCTCATAAGCAGCTTTTATTTGCATATATGGGAGTTGCTCCCAATAGCCTGATTTCTGACTTACCTTATTTCTTTTATTTAATAGCTGATAGACATTAAGGCCAGAAGAGACCATCATGCTCAGGTAGTCTGACTTCTTGTCCATCATAGGCCACAGAACCTCACCCATCCATTCCTGGCTGAGTTACCAAAGTCCTCAAATCATGGTTTAAAGACTTAGTTATTGGTTTTTTTAGATAATAGTTCTGATTTCAACATAGAACAGGATAAAGTTGAGGTCCTGTGTACTGTGATTTTAGGCTTCCCAGCTCTTGCCTTTATTAATATTTTAATCAAGCTAAATAACAAGCTAATTCATGCACAACTCAACAGCAAAGGGGACTGATACATTTTATGTTTGTATTGATGAAGGGCCATATCTTCAGTGAGTACAGATCACTGTAACACTATTAGGCTGTGTCTAGACTACACCTCTCTGTCGACAGAGAGATGCGGATTAGGCACGTTGAAATTGCTAATGAAGCAGGGATTTAAAAATCCTATGCTTCATTAGCATAAACATGGCCACCCCTATTTTTCTTAATGGAACTTTTTCGAAAAAATGGCAGTCTAGATGCGGATCTGTCAAAAATAAACCCTTTTTCGACAGATCTTATAAACCTCATTTTTTGAGAAATACAGGATCTGTCGAAAAAGGGTTTATTTTCAACAGATCTGTGTATAGACTGGCTTTTTTTTCAAAAGCTGTTTTGAAAAAAAAGAGGCGGCCATGTTTATGCTAATGAAGCATGGGATATTTAAATCCCTGCTTCATTAGCAATTTCGACGTGCCTAATCTACATCTCTCTGTCGACAGAAAGGAGTAGTCTGGATGTAGCCTTATAGTCACAGACCAGAATGTTTAGGAATGAGACTTTGAAAAAATAGAGGCAGACAATTAGACTGTGAAGTCCATATTTAGGCTCGTAAATATGTTACCTGATTCTCAAAGATGCAGTGGATTTCAGTGGGAGTTTGTGTCTTCCACACTTTTGAAAATCAGGTCATTTAATGCAGAGTCCTTAATCAGGATTTAGGAGCCTACTCTAGGACCCATTTTTTAAAATCCTGACCTCCAGCATTATGCAATTGATCTGTACTGGAAGCCAGGAAGCCATCTTAATGGGAGAAGATAAATCATGACTTCCAGTCTTTAGACCACCCAAGTGGTTTTGAATTTTACAGTACAGAAAGAAATCTTCAGGTCTCCAGGGAATGACTTGGGGAGAGACTCATATGATGTTACCATTAAAGCTAGGAGGTTTTTTTTGGTTGGTTTTGTTTTGTTTTGTTTTAGCAGGGCAGAAAAACTAGCCGTATAATGTACATAGTGTCCAGCCTGGAACAAATTATCTAGACCAGTGGTTCTCAAACTGTTTTGGGCTCCGGAGCCCTTTTCATGCATAAAAATTTATGCGGAGCCCCAGCGGTCCACTGATTGTATGTGTGGAGCCCCAGTGGTCCACTGATTGTATGTATTGTACCTATCGATGTTTCCAGTTTGTCAACCTGGAGCCCCTGGAGTTGTCTTGTGGAGCCCCCTGGGGCTCCACAGAGCACAATTTGGGAAACACTGATCTAGCCTAGGCAGTTGATCGTAAAGTTAGGAAAGACAATTATATTTTAATAGTTAGATTACGTTTAACATTAATTATATACTAAATATATTATTTGTGGTCGTGCTGCATTATTTAATCAGGAATGGGCTCTATTATGCTGGGTGCGGAAGAACACATACAGCCCCTTCAATATTCAAGACCGTTTTAATGTATTAAAAACATTTAATCAACGGTGAAAACCAAACCATATAGGGGAATTGATGGCAGCTGCGCAGAGTGTTCTGGGGAAAAAACACTAAGGGCACGTTGAAACTACACTCCTCTTCCAAAAGAGGAATGTAAATGAGCCCAATTGAAAATGCAAATGAAATTCAGATTTACAAATCTCGCACTTCATTTGCATAATCATGTGAGAGTGCTTTTTCTGAAAAAATGAGGTGTACAGGTTCTTTTGAAAAAAGGGTTTATTGTTTTCAAAAGAATCCCATCTAGACTGCGGTTTCTTTTTCGAAAAACCCTTTTTCAAAAAAACGCTCTCACATGATTGTGCAAATGAAGTACGAGATTTGTAAAACCATGCTTCATTTGCATTTTCGATCAGGTTCATTTACATTCCTCTTTCAGAAGAGGAATGTACTTTAGACATAACCCTAGAGACACAAAGACGGAGCATGACAATGCAGACTGACCAATTTTGGAAGTAGGAGGTGAAGCGTATTCATGGCCCTGTTTTGCATCTTTTTCACAAAAGATATTGCACATACGTCTTAATGCACTGAAACAAAAAATGTGTCTGTTTAGAACACTTCACTTACAGAAGACTTAGGCTTGACAAAATCATTCAGAAACATTCAGTCACTGTTATTTTTCTCCATATGGCAACAATTATTCATAAAACATGGAAACTGAGTGGCTAATGATGATCTCATGCTGTTTAATTATGATAATATACAATTATACTAACTAAACAGTATAAAAAGCATTCTGTAAGCACAAATACACACTTCAGGGTGTGAAGTCTGAGATGCGCAGATACTGCAGTGATGAGTAGGATATAAAAAATCCTGACTCGACTAGTGTCATGGCTAGGAGCAGTCAGATATGAGCAATCTCATCATTAGTACATTTTGAGCATACAAATACAGCTTCCCAGCCTGAGCTGCTGTGCCTTATGCCCTATCAGAATGATATTAAATAGGTGTGAGAGGTCCTTTTGCAGCTCTGTGAGAAAAAACAAGCCAAACATAGGAGGGTATGTCTACACTAGCCCCCTAGTTCGAACTAGGGAGGCTAATGTAGGCATTCGAAGTTGCAAATAAAGTCCAGGATTTAAATATCCCGGGCTTTATTTGCATCTTTCCATCTGGGTGCCATTTTTAAATCCCCTTAGTCCGAACTAACTGCCCGTGGCTACAAGCGGCAGTCAAACGTTAACTCGAGGCAGCCAAACGTTAACTCAAACTAAGGACTTATACCTCGTGGTTCGAGTCTGACTGCCGCGTGTAGCCGCGGGCAGTTAGTTCGAACTAATGGGATTTAAAAATGTCGCCTGGATGGGAAGATGCAAATAAAGCCCGGGATATTTAAATCCTGGGCTTCATTTGCAACTTCGAATGCCTACATTAGCCTCCCTAGTTCGAACTAGGGGGCTAGTGTAGACATACCCGGAGAGAGCAGAAACTTAGGTGCTGACTCGGTGGGTGCTCCAGAAAAAAAATGGTGGGTTCTAGGCACCCTAAGGCAGCCAGCTCACCCTTCCTCTCCAGTCTCTCCTGCCCCTTCCCTGTGATCAACTCTTTCAGAGTGTGCAGGAGGTGCTGAGGGGACGGGTGAGGAGGGGAGCAGGAGGAGGGGGAAGCGGACATGTACAGAGGAGGGAGTGGAATTGATGGAAGAGGCAGGGTATGGGTGGGACCGTGGGGAGTTGAGCACCCCAGGGGCCCAGAGGAAGCCAGCACCTCTGAGCAGAGAAGTGCTTAAAGTGGCTCTTTCCTGCCTCAATCCCATATAAGTTTATGGGTATTTTCCATTAATGTGGAACCGGGATTTAATCTAGGACAGAGGCTCACAACTTCTCTCTTTTTGAGGCTCCTCCAAACATGCTATAAAAGCTCCATGGCCCCCAGTGCCACAACTGTTTTTCTCCATATGAGTGCCAAGGCCAGCATTAGGAGGTAGCATGCAGGGCAATTACCTGGGAGCCCACACCACGCAGGCCCTGCACAGCTATGTTGCTCAGGCTTTGCCTTCACTCCATGGTGGTAGGGCTTGAGTCCCTGGGTTTCAGCCCTGTGCAGTGGACACCTGTTTGAGAACTGCTGATCTAGTAGACCTTGACTTGTTTTAATAATGAAATCACAGAACATTGAGTGTTTTTTTTCAGTTTTATGAATATGTCCATGAAACAGCACACCTGACTCAGTTAAAATCCTATATCTCTCTAGTTAGATGTCATTAATGCAGCTGACAGTGCCTTGCTACTAAAACAAAATTGTGCATGCATACCCACACAAGCATGCTTACTAATAATTTCATATTATGTGTGCATATTTCACTATATTTAATAGGGGAGTCTATCATCTATTATTGGTAGTGTCTGAATTCTCTTTTTGATTGCTATGTGTGTTTTGCACCTTCCTACCCTCCTGGGTAACTTGTTCTATTTTTCATTTAGATCAACAAACAAATGTTATGCAAACAAGAAAGCAACTAAGCATGCGGTGTTCCCTTCATGCTGTAATGTCACAAAATGCCAGGCAATAATTCAATTGACAATGCAGAATAAGAGGTGTAGGCTAAAAATAACACTCTCAGCATCTGTTCATCACTTGCAGCTAAGAAATGTGTTCATTTTCAAGTCCCAAATGTCTTGGGAAGTCTTATTACATATAGGTGCAGGAAGACACTCACCACAAAACTCTGGTAAACTTGTACTTTGGGATGTGTGATGTTTGCATTTAGATGCAAAGTTACAGGGTTCTGATACAGACAATAGCCAAATCAACTTTGCAATGCTCCACTTAGGTTTGTCAAACTCAAATAATGCTGCCTCGTATAGGTTTGGAGTTCCATCCAAAGTACTAATTAAAGTCTCCTCTGAACATGATCAAAGTGGCTCCTATATCTATAACCATAACATTTGATATTAACAAGAGAAAGACTAACAGCAAACATTAGTTAAGGACATATAGAAAAAGTTCACGAATGACTCTTATATGTACTAGGCTTCAAAATGATTCAAGCAATTTAAAAAAGCAATTTAAAATGAAACTGAAAACAAGGGCAAGGCCTGTAAGGAAAGCTCAGTTAAAATCAACCATCTTCATTTGTCTTAAGCAACACTTCACAGTCTGTACCGGATATTACAGAGAAAAGGATAAAACACGGCTATGAAGAGATTACTGGCTAGTTCCTAATACATCAGACAGGAATTTTTGTTAATGAGCATCTTTTTCTCTCATGTGCCTGTTTCCCACTGTCATCTCATTGCCAAAGCATCCTCAGCATTAGTACTTCGGTCTGACTTAAATATACATATTCTTTCTGTATGTTCTTTCTACTCCTTTAAAAATATCAAGAAAGGTGGCAAGACAAACAGTTGAATACATATAATTCAATGTGCCATTCCCTCACCGAGCCATAATTATTATTATTATTATAAAAACTTCCATTAAGACAAACTTTTTAATTTCAAAAAGGAGAATTAAAAAAAACTCTGAATAAAACACTATTCAAAATTTTTCAGCATGTATATAAATGAAAATAGGTCAAAATTGGCAAACCCAGGTGCCTAAGGTTAGGCTCCTAGATTTATATTTAAACATTTGCATAGAAGTGGCCTCATTTTCAGAGGTGCTGACATAGGCACCACTTTTACTTTTCCCCAGAGGTGCTGCACTACCTCTCTTCCCTGAGGCCTGCCCATTCTCCAGCCCACCCCCAAAGACTCCACCTTCACCCTGCCTCTTCTTACGCCGCCTCCTCTGCCGATGCCTCACTCTCACTCCACCTATCTGGAGGGCCTTGCCCTCACTCCACCACTTTCTACTCCCTCTCCGAGGCCCTGCTGCTCTTCACCCTCCTCCTTACCTGCCAGATAACTGTTTGGCACCATCCCCCATCAGCTCTTTGGCAGCGCCCTGGATTAGCAGATTGGGGGTGCTGCCAAACAGCTTGGTCTGGAGGATGCTGAGTATCCACTATGTTTCCCCTGGCTGCTCCATCCCCAGAGCACCCATGGAGTAGGCACCTATGGGTGCTAAGCAATGCCAACACTGAAGTCAGTGGGAGCTACAGTTGCTTAGCACCTTTGAAAAGTCAAACCCATCTATTTAAGTGTCCAAATATGGATTTAAGAGCCAAATTTCAAGCACTGCAATTTGAAATTTTTTAGTCAGACCATTATGTTATTAACATTTCAAACTGTGATGGCTTTTTCAGGTAAATTGCCTTGTAATTCCAATATGTATGTTTCAACAGACCGGTTTAAGAGTTGTGGAATTTCTACATGAGGATAGTTTTGCATTATCAGGGATTAAATAGGGAATCTGAACATATCACTGCCAACATTAGCCCATAATTGTATTTCAAATGTCACACAGGTCTAGTTTAGAATGAACAATAAATCAAATCTATGTCATGAAGGCCCAGTCCAATATGTACTAGTCAATGGAGAGACTCCCAGGACTCCGATGAACTGAATCTGGCCCTGAACTGTTATGTTGTTTCACTGGCAATAGCATTCACATTAATGCCACTGGAGTTGCAGCTACTTGCACAGGTATGAATCTGATCCATAATACCAACCTCAGGCTTACATAACAGATAATACCCTGGGCTCTGATAGGATAATGGGAAAACATATTATGCTTATATTGCCTACATTTGCATTTTCCAAATAAAGATTAATAAAAACCTGCTGTGACCTGAAAAACCCTCACTACAAACCTTGACCGAGTGTACATTATTGCTGGATATTTCACTGCTGTGAAGTACAATGGGGGGTCATACTAACAGCACTAGGAATACATTTCTATACTCTTCTTTCAGCTGGTACAAAGTCACCACTGGAGGAAGTTTACTTCTTTATGTTGTCAAAATGCTGGAAATTAAAAAACAATGAAAAATCAGAATAATACTGCTGGCTGGAGTCAGCCTGGTTTCAGAATTCATATAAGAGTATTAGCTCCTACAAAAGAGACAGATGATACCTCAACCAGTGTTCAAAGCCACATGATGAGAATTTATCTTTAAGGCTTGTCATCTTCTCTGAGTGTCTCAAGAATTGATAGTAGCTGATGAAATGTGGGGCGCTTCTCTGGAAGCTACATGAAAACAAAGAACAAATTATATGACTACTTAACATTGAAAATATAACATATAGTTACTGTAACATTCATTTTTCTTAGCTCAAATATATAGAACTAAGAAATAATAGCATTTAAGTGGCAAAGCAATATATTCTTTTGAAAGTGCTATATGCTTTAAATCTCTCTTCTGGTTATATCTTGTTCTTTAAAATTTTTGTTCAAATTGAACTTATTTTTGTCATGCGTGAGTAATTCAAAAAATAACAATCACCATTTTATGATAGCAGCAGTAACGTGGCAGGCATTTTCTAGATATCCAAGAAGGGACATATCACAGTTTAAAGACAGGTAAACAGAGGTTGGATGAAGAATAAAAAATCAGGATTATTTTTACTAGAGTCACTGTAGGCAGCATGACAATGGTCTTTAAGATAAATTTAAATATGAATATAGAAAGATCAATATTTGACCTACAAACCTTGACAGTCTCTCTTATGTTTAGAATTGCAGGCATATAGACATTATGATGAATCATTCAAACTCCAAATCTGTCATCCACTTTGAAACATATTTCAGGTATCTTCCTAACTGAATGGTATACCTTACTCAAAAGGAAAATCAAATAGTTCTCCTTCATCTTTAATGTATGGGCCCTTCCTCTGGTGTACTCTAGTAGAATGCTTTATGGAAACTAGTTTCTCTCTACAATTGATGTCCTTTAACAGAAACAGTTTATGTATTGATTTTTTTCAGCTGACCATCATGCGTCTCAAAAAATATTTTAGCAAGTTTCTCCAACGCATATGGACCAATGTTCTTACCTCATGCCAGCAGCTGTACATTATCTCGTAGATGGTCTCTGAGGTGAGTTGTGGTCGGTAAAGCCGATATCCCTCAGAAACTTTCTCAATCACTTGGATATTTTCATACAGTTCATAGGGTTGCTTTCCCAGAGTGAACACTTCCCACATTAAGATCCCTATGGGAGTTTTCATTGTTAAAAGACAAGAAATTTAACAGATAACCATTGCAGACCAAAACACCTAATGAATGCTCATTAACAGAACAGCAGTAACAGATGAGACTTTTATCAAAACGTTTTTTTAGAAAATGCCTGAGGATGATTTGTATCCAGTGTATGATGCTAGCAGTGTACTAGTGTCAGTGATGTTATATTCACATTGCAAACAACGTGATGTTTTAGTGGCATGTGAAGGTAAATGATACAGGTGTTTGGTGATAATGCCCAAGACATGGCAATCCAAGAACTGTCTTGTGTCAACTTTTAAAATAACACAGAACAGTGGTTCTCAACCTTTCCAGAGTACTGTACCCTTTTCAGGAGTCTAAGAGTGCATCTACACTGAAGGGCTTATCTCAAAATAAGCTTCACAAATTGAGCTATGTCAATTGCATAGCTTATTTAGAAATAGCTTATTTCGAAATACAGAGTGTCTCCACACAGCACTTATTTTGAAATAGAGCACTCTTCTTCCAACTTCCCTTACTCCTCGTACAATGAGGGTTACAGGAGTAGGAGTAAGAAGTCCTCCAGCTTGACAATAGTTTGACATTATTTCAAAATAACTGCCTGCTGTGCAGACGTGGACTAAGTTATTTTAAAATAACACTAATTATTTTGAAGTAGTGTCGCAGTGTAGACATATCCTAAGTGTCACAGCATGCTGTTAATGAAAAATTGAGTACTTCCTCATTCTTACAACATAATTATAAAATAAACGAATTGGAATATAAGTACTGTATGTACATTTTAGTGTATAGTTTATAAAGTAGTATAAACAAGTCACTGTCTGTGTGAAATTTTAATTTTTACTCACTTAGCTAGTGCTTTTTATGTAGGCTGTTGTAAATCTAGCCAAATATCTAGATGAGTTGATGTACTCCCTGGAAGAAATCTGTGAATCCCAGGGGTACACATAACCATGTTGGAGAACTACTGATAAGAATAAGTATTAAAGAAATTTTGTAGATGATTTCCTCATGTGAGTTTACAGATGTTTTTAAGGGACCAAGACAATTAGTCTTTTATCCCTGGTCTACACTAGGGAGTTATTTCAAAATAACCCCGCTTATTTTGAAATAATAAACAGAGTGTCTGAACTACCAAGCCCATTATTTTGAAATATTATTTGAAATCTGTACTCCTGACACCCCCCCGGGAGGCCTCCCATAGCTCCCCAGTGCTTCCTGGGGCTCTGAATCTGAAGTAGCACGTCCACATTAACAGAGCCTGCTTTGGACTACATTCAGTTCTTCCCCATACTGACCATAGAGCACACTTATTCTTTCTCTCTGTAAGTGGTCCTAATGCCACTACATAAAACAATAAACCACACCCAGAGAGTGTGTGAGTTACATAAGCACCTTCAATATGAAAGGTCAAATCCCATACGTACCAAAGGCCCATACATCTGATTTGCTGCTAAACTTGGTATAATGGAAAACTTCTGGTGCTGACCACTTCACTGGAAACTTAGATCCTAACGAGCTTATATACAGGTCATCCAGAACATACCTGAAAGGGAAGAGCCAGTCGTCAGGCTGTGACAAATGTCTAGTGAAATCCTGCTTACTGCTTCTGCCCAAAATGCCCTGCAAGAACTCTCCAAACTAAGCTGGCCAGAAATCCAGGTCTCCAGAAGTGACCTGACAGGAACTCCAACCTCAGGGTACAGAGGCATGCTACTGCCATCAAGTTATCAATAGACTCTGAACAATGTCAGAGAGCAAAGGGGGCAATTGCCTAGGGGCCGTCTAGTGAAATCCTGCTTACTGCTTCTGCCCAAAATGCCCTGCAAGAACTCTCCAAACTAAGCTGGCCAGAAATCCAGGTCTCCAGAAGTGACCTGACAGGAACTCCAACCTCAGGGTACAGAGGCATGCTACTGCCATCAAGTTATCAATAGACTCTGAACAATGTCAGAGAGCAAAGGGGGCAATTGCCTAGGGGCCTGGGCAATTAAGAATGGTCTGGGGCTCCTAGCTGCTGCTGCTGTAGTAATGGCAGCGACTGGGATCGCCCTGTCGCTATTAAATTGTAGCAGATTAAATCACAATAGCAGCGGCTTGCATGTGCCGCATGCCTGCACTGTCCAGCTGCTGCCTGTGGTCCAGATCCATGCCTATGTGGTGATGATATGCCAGGTCAGCAGCAGTATGGGGCATCCAGTGGCAAAAGGGGCAGCTGTCCTGGGCTGGGCTGGGCAGCACTGAAGGGCTGACTCGGGGAGGCTAGCCTTTCCACCTGCCCCTTTTGCCCAAGGCCTTGCCCTTTCTGGGGACCCAGAGACACCACCTCCACCACTTTGCCTAGGGCTGGGCAATTGTGTCAACAGCCCTGCAGTGTCATTGCTAGAGGGAACAGAAACCCAAAATCATGTGCATCTCTTGCAAAGAGCCTGCTTCAGCTTTCTATGACAAGCATGGAATAGCGATGAGCATGTGTTACATTTGCCCGCTAATCTTTAGCGGTGGAGTCTGTACCTTCTATTTCTCATCTCATTGAAAGCCCCAGCATGGATTCATCATTAACTCAGCAGGACTACAGAGAACTAGGTAACCCCTGGGGTTTAACTTTACCAGTAACCTGTTCAGTAACAGTTGGTTTCACGGCAGCACTGACTGATTAGCTCCAAAAAGCCATTCACAACAGACATTATTGCACTGCAGCGGTTGAAGATTGCGTCCGTGGCTTACCTCGCCATCCCAAAGTCAGACACCTTCACGGTAAGATCACTATCAACCAAGCAGTTCCTAGCAGCCTTTGGTGGGAAAACAAGAAAACAGATTGAATGACCAAAATAACAGTTGGGGTATTTTCTAATAATATTTCTGTCCTGCAGAATTCCACTGGAAGGAGGCAGGGGTTAGAACCTGGATCAGCTGATGTTCCCATAATATCATCAACAGACCCTGCACAGCTACAAGCAGGAGAATAGGTGCTACAGGAAATATAGCGAGCTGATTGGCCAGGTGCTCCTCCTTAACCTTAGAGGATGCCCCAGGAAGTTGTCTGGGTAACCACACAGACTTTGGCCTTCTGTGATGCCAGACTTTGCCTTGTCTCTTGATCTCCTATCCCAGCCTGAGTGACCCAGTGTCCTGATTCCAGGTTGGTACTACACCCGTCTTCCACTCTCTGACCCCAACTCTTTTTTACTCAGCTTGGCTCTTGTGATTCATCCAACTCCTGCTCACACGTAGGCCATATGACCACTAGCCCACTAGCTTCTATCTATGAAGTTCTTTGATATAAAAATGCACTATTTTTAATTTGTAACATGAATAATGAGTAATTCTGCAACAGCATTTGTCATCCATTGATCTCACAGAGCTTTACGGAGGAAATCAGTATAATTATCCCCATTCTACAGAAGAGGACACTAAGGCACAGGGAGGGGCAGTCACCCAGAAAACCAATGGCAGTGCCATGAACTGAATGCCTGTATCATGGGTCCCAGACCAGTGTTCTAGCCCCTAGGAAGCACATCAAAAGTTGCTAGTACATCAAAAGCAAGAACAACACAGCAGTTTAGGAGAATGCTGATATGATTATTTACTGTGCATTATAAGGAAAGTGAAATATTGAGAGACAATATGGGCAATGAATAGGCAATAAGAGCCCAGTTCTGTGCAGACTTATTTTTGTGAGCATTTACCCTCTACCCTGAGGGTTATTAATCCCTGGGATATGATTCATACCTCCTAAAGCCAAGATTTATATTTACCCTCTACCCTGAGGGTTATTAATCCCAGGAATATGATTCATACCTCCTAAAGACAAGATTTAGTCTTGGCTCTCCATCATGTGTAATAATCAGTAGCTAATTTTCAAAAGTTGCTTTTATATTTATAATTTGAACATTGCCTGGATACACTGTTCAATACCCTAGATTTCTGATTTTAATGTGCAGACTGGTTAGTAACCTGTCCAGTTACTTGATTCATGTACACAAATAAATAATGACAAACCTTAAAACAAATATTTAAAATTATGGTTGGGGATGGAGAGATTGGCCCGAGGCACCTTTTAAAAATACATCTCTCTCCATATTGTAGATTCGCATACATTTTCAAATGGCTATAGTCACACCACCCAATGTCATGACTGAGACTGGAACATGTGTTTCCAGGAGCAAGAGATAACTCTCTTTCAGTGATCTCCTACAACAACCAATTTGATTCTACCCCAATCCATGTGCCAATGTTCTTGAACACTCACATGTACAAAGAGCAGGCCTAGAGACTAATTGATTAATTGATTCTGCTCTCAGCTACACTAGTGTAAAATAGAGTTGGACCACTATAGAACCAGGATGCATAATGGAAGGAAGAAGATGCAAGTGAGTAAAATACTGGCTTATTACAACACAATCTGAAAGGTCTTGACATGGCTGATCATCTCATAACAGTAATAAAACATCACTAAAAAGAACTCTCTATTCCAATGGTCAACATGTCCACGCAGTTACACTTGCTTTATGCAAGTGTGAGTTATTCTGGTCCAAAATGGGAGTAGCAGAGTGCTGAATCAGTTCCTAACTCTCTTCCCCCTACCTATAGAATAATGGCTAGAGCTTACCAAGTCTCGATGAATGAACTGCTGACTCTCTAAGAAGGACATAGCTTCACAAATGTTATAACACATTTCCAGCAACTGAAAGGGTTGCAGCTCCTTGCCATGACTCTTCAAGTAGTGAAGCAAGCAGCCATTAGCCATATATTCAGATACTATGTAGATGGGATAGGTCTTTGTGCAAACTCCATAGAGCTTAACAAGTTTGGGATGGTTAAGTTTCCTGAAATAAAAAAATAAAAAATAAATACATTCCTCTGTTTTGTGAGCTTTTCTTCCTCATTATTATCTTGTAATTCCTAAAGAAATGTTTGGAACCACACAAATACATAACAATTAATAAGAGGATAGCCTCGTTAGTAAATCCTTGCACAAAAGTTCGGGTTTCATCAATGATGTCTTAGATTTTAAACTTTCCCTTTCAAGCACAGGTTAATTTCTTTCTCCATGCTAGCAATAAACATGTGCTCAAATAATCAGTTACGGTGAAACTGACTCCTTTAGGTTGCAGTAGTGCAGATCTTTGAACTAGGGATGTTAAATATCAGTTAATTGAATAATCGATTAACCTCATGAATTTTTATCGGTTACTCGACTATTCTATAGTTCCCGAGGGTGGGACCAGCAGCCAGTGTGCTCCGGCCTCCCACTGAGGAGCCCCTTGCCACTCCATGCTGCTACTTCTGTGTCAGAGTAGAGTGCCAGGTGAGCCCCTTGCCACTCCATGCTGCTGCTTCTGTGTCAGAGTAGAGTGCAAGGTGGGAGCTGGTATGCAAGGGGAACCAGTTTAAAAAACAGCTCCCCTCGTGGACCAGCGGACCAGCTGCCAGCAGCCCCTGTCGAGGAAGCGATCTGAGCTCCCAGACTTGGTGCGAGCTGGAACTGAGCCAGGCTGCCTGCACACCTGGCTCCTAGTACACTTTAAATGCAGAGTTGCAGCAGGGGTAGATCCTGGACCTGGTGGAAGCCAGGACTGAGTCAGGCTGCTGGCCAGCCTGTTAAAAAATTTACTGGCAAGAGGAGGAGGCGAAATGCGTGTAATAGTATAATAGTATAGTTGATTAACCAAAGCAGAAGCTCTTTCTACACAGTGCCAAATTTTGAAATAAAGTACTATTTCCACAGGGATGCCGGAATAGTGTGCCCGTTATTTTGAAATATATTTTGAAATAACAGGCATGTTTAAAGATGTGGAATAGCTATTTCGGGATACCAGAAGTATCCTGAAATAGCTCTGCTGTGTAGACATAGCCTAAGAGAACATAGCAAAGTAGAATCAGCTCATATAACCATTTCACCTAACCCACTGATAGGGGCACAGACCATTTCCTGTGTTGTGACATCCCTAAAAGGGCCTTGAATAAAACAATTTGCAAACTGGTATCTCACTGTGGAGCCTGGGGTAGTTACCTCCCCCTACCAATGTGAAATATAATCTGGATGCATTCCTGGATCTGACACATCCCATCTACTCATGTCTGTGACATTGCCACCTGCTGCTGGTGCCAGAAATAGATCATTCCATCCTTGCCTGTTGGAGGAGGTATTTCTGCGATGAAGTACATTTTTAAATCACGCATGTAGCAGCTCTGCAGTCAGTGCCACTGAGAAGCACTATAATACTGATTACTGCTAACTCCAGCAATCTCTCTACTATTCTGTCGATGCCTCTTTTAATGTGATGCCCCTAAGAGGCCACATACGTAGCCTATGCTAAAGTTGCCTGTGGGTACTTATGGTTTTACTTTTATTTTGAAGAGGCACTTTTTTCAGTGACTATTCTGTATTACTGACGTCACCTGGGGAAGATCTTTATTTGCAATGTTATTTCATCAAGCAAAGTGCAGCTTACATCATGGTGTGAGCTTCCTCTATGAATTCATCTTCTGACATTGATCCTTCTTTAATCATCTTAATGGCAACATCATACTTTCCTTTCCATTTTCCCATCTGCACCACTCCGAACTGGCCACTTCCTAATTCCTTGAGCAGGACGATTTCTTCTCGTTTCAGCTCCCAGATCCCTAGTGGGACAAAAGTAATTCCCTTTAGCTACCAGCATGACACCTGCAGTCACAGGGTCCTAAAGGCATCCATTTGTTTTCTTTTGCCCTTCATGAAAGCGTTCCATGTGGAGTCTACAGGTTACATATGTGAGTTGCAGCAGAAATGGGCACCCTGTAGCTCCCTCCCCAAGGGTCATTGGATACTGAGGATGTTAGTTCACAAAACCAGACAATATTCATGTGGCTTTTGAAGGACTTTTGGGTCAAGCAATAGAAATATCGCCAGTCTGTTTTACACTTGGCCTTGCAAACAAATGCAATCTCACCACTTAGTGTGCTAGAACATAATAAGAAAGGGTGAGATGGCCATGGCATGGGTGTGTGCAGATGGACAGAGTGCACAAGCAGCCCATCCATCACTTGATCCCCGAAAGAGTCGGAAGGCCATTGGACCAGATTCCCCAACATCCACCCACACACACAGCAGCCTTTGGAATAGGCTGCATGTGCTGGTGGGTAGTAACTGCATTCAGATTCTAGAACAGTGGTTCTCAACCTATTAACCATTGTGGGCCTCATATGCAGCTCTCTGTGTTAGGTGGGCCACATCCACAAATTGGTAAATGAAATTTAATGTTGGTAAATATGAAATAATGCACATTAGAAAAAATATCCCAACAATACAATATGATGGGGACTAATTTAGCTATAACTACTCAAGAAAGAGAGAGAGATCTTAGAGTCATTGTGGATAGTTCTCTGAAAATATCCACTCAATGTGCAGCAGCAGTCAAAAAAGCAAACAATGTTGGGACTCATTAAAAAGGGATAGAGAATAAGACAGAGACTATCTTATTGCCTCTATATAAAGCCATGGTACGTCCACATCTTGAATACTGCATACACATGTGGTAGTCTCATTTCAAAAAAGATATATTGGCTTTGGAAAAAAGTTCAGAAAAAGCAACAAAAATGATGAGGGGTTTGGAACGGGGCCCATATGAAGAGAGATTAAAAAGACTGGGACATTTCAGCTTAGAAAAGAGGAGCCTGAGGGGGGATATGATAGAGGTCTATAAAAACATGACTGGTGAGGAAAAAGTGAATAAGGAAAAGTTATTTACTTGTTCTCATAATATAGGAACTAGCGGTCATCAAATGAAATTAATAGGTAGCAGGCTTAAAACAAACAAAAGAAAGTTTTTCTTCACATAGTGCACAGTCTGCCTGTGGAACTCCTTGCCAAAGGAGGTTGTAAAGACTAGGGCTTTGTCTACACTGCAAAGAGATCTTCTGCAAAAACTTCTTGCGCAAAAGCGCGTCTACACCTCAAAGCGTATTGCAAAAGCGATGTGCTTTTGTGCAAGAAAGAGTCCACACTAAACGGACACTCTTGCGCAAGAAAGTTCTGATTGTCATTCACAAAATGGCCCTCAGATCACCTGTGCTTTTTGTGATCATCTCTTTTTGCACAAGAAACCCCTGTTGAGCATCCACACACATCTTTTTGCATAAGAACTCTTGCGCAAAAAGGAGTTATGACTCGTAGAAGTAGGTATACCTACACCGCAAAAAGCCCTCTGTTCTGTCGATTGACTGTAGATTTTTTTGTGCAAAAGTGCGCTTGAGATGTGGACACTCCACGGGTTTTTGAACAAAACCCCTGTAGTGTAGACATAGCCTAGGACTTTAACAGGGTTCAAGAAAGAACTAGATAAATCCATCGAGGTTAGATCCACCAATGATTATTAGCCAGGATGGGTTGGAATGGTGTCCGTAGCCTCTGTCAGGCAGGAGAGGGATGGCAGGAGACAAATCGCTTGATCATTGTCTTCGGTCCACCCTCTCTGGGGCACCTGGTGTTGGCCACTGTCGGCAGACAGGATTCTGGGCTAGATGGACCTTTGGTCTGACCCAGTATGGCTGTTCTTATGTTCTTATCCACATGACATATATTCTATCCGTACTGCCCTGAGGATGTCACATGGGCTGCAGCTGTGTGCTGACTAGGCCACAAGTGGCCCATGGGTTGAGTAACACTAATCTAGAAGCTTAAAGGATTTGAGGATTCACCTCTGAGATCCCCTCACAGCAGCCTGGTGAGTGTCCAGCAGGGGGTGCTCAACTAGCATTTGACAGGTGGCAAACAGTGACAATAGTTTTAAAAGAGAAAAACATGTCCATACCATTTCCCAAGGAGGCTGTGGATGGGACCTTATTTACTTTCGTAGTCACAGCATGTCGAAGCCTGGTAATAATACCTACAAAGAAGGCCAGTCAATGATCACAATACATACAGCACATTAATTATTTATTAATTATTATTATTATTAGCTAATATACAGCTATTCTTATTATTTAGTTCACTGAGTAGGGCAAGAGATTCGCCATACAGTCTACAAACCCAGTAACTTGGGTCTCTCTAATCTATCTATGGCAGAATACATATGACAGGAGACAAACACTTTCAGGGTCACCAGAAGGGACAGGCAGAGATTGCAGTGGTTTACCTGCTGAGTTATGCTGATGATAGTGAATGAGCTGGGGAACGGAATCAAAACAATAATTTTCAGCCAGATAATATTTGTTTTCATGGTTCGTGTTCACGTGGTAGTGTTTGACAGTTCCTTTTTTTTCTCTGAAAAATAACACAAAGTAATTTTTATGTAAGAGCCTTGTTAAATGGACTTAATAAAGTCCAAGTCTTATTTAGTTAATTAGACAGGTAGTCACCAATCTCAAAATACACCCGTTACACTTCTGATGCTATTTTTTCTTTGCTGCTACCAGTTGTCATTCAGTTAAGGGAATGCTTTGCTTAGTAAGTGGTATTAGCAGTCCTGTAAGTGAAGTGATACTTTTATTTCACTGAGCAGTCCTTTTACAAACTTATGTTGCAAATTTTTCATATTTCCTTAGCTTCTAATAAGTAGTATTCAGAAAGCTAGTCATATTTATAATAGGGATGTAAATAACTACTCAAGTAGTTGACTACCCAATAAGCCTGGATTTATGGCGTAATCAAGTCACTACTTGACTACTTGCTCCCCACCTGTTGCTGCCTCTGATACAGAGACAGCAAGTGGGGGGAAGCAAGAGTCTAAGTTGGGGGATCTGACTTAAAAGTCGGTTCCCCCAGCACAGTTTTCACAGTGTGGGGAGGGAGGACAGGGGAGGCAGATTGCTCAGTCCCGGGGGTCCTGGACCTATCCCCGCTGCAGCTCTGCAGTTTAAATGTAGTAGTAGCAAGGTTGCCTGTGTGCCTGGCTCCTACTACATTTAAACTGCAGAGCCACAAAGGGGCCCCTTATCAACTAATTCTGTACTCGATACAAATTGTATCAACTACACAATTAGTCAATTACCTGCTTCTTAACATCCTTAATTTACACTAACTGCCTGGGGAGAGGAAAAAACTTTCTCCATGAAAATCATAGACCCATAGGGTTAGGGTCATCTGGCAGTGGATTTCAAACTATGAGTCATGACCCAGTACCGGATCGTGGGATGTCAGGCACTGGGTCTTGTTGCTGCATGGGGATCAGGCGACCAGTGGGAGTGCTAAGGCAGATGACCTGCCTGTCCAGGCACCGCAGACTGTGCGGCAGGCCCGGATCCTCGGTGTGGGGGAGGGAAAGAAGAGCACGCACAGAGCTCTGTGCACAGCCCCTGCCCTGAGCACTAGTTTCACACTCCCATTGGCTGGGAACCTACTTCTGGCTGCTTCTGGGGTGCATGGTCTGTGGTGCCAGGGTAGGCAGGAAGCCTGCCTTAGGATCCCCGCTGCACTGCTGACTGGGAGCTGCTCAAGGTAAGCCCCTCCTGCCCTAGCCCTTCTCCCCCTCCCAAAGCTGGAGCCCCCTTCAACACCCCAAAGCTCTCATCCTCAGCCCCACCCTGGAGCCTGCACTCTAGTCAAATTATGTTGGGTCACAGGCGTCAACAATTTTGTTCAACTGGGTTATGAGAAGAAAAGTTTGAAAACCACTGGTCTAGTCTAACCCTTGGCCAAGATGCAGGATTTGTTGTTCTAAATGTTATTTAATGCAAACAATGATGACAGGGAACTAGGGTATTGTATCTTCTCTTGAAGCATCTGGTGCTGGCCACCACTGACTGCAGGATATTTGACTAGAAGGACCAGTGGTTTGACCCACTAAGGTAGTTTTTTTCTGAATGTTTCCAGTTCTATTTCTAACCTCGCTTTGCTTTTTTCCTGCCCCTCCCAAGCTTGATCTCCTCTCTCCTTCCCTATTTTTTTCTGTCTTCAGTTGTCCTCTTTCTTCCCTGCATTACATTAACCTCCTATATGACTTATCCTGCTCCATGTTCAGCTGGCTGTAAGAGTCCTTTCCAGCACTCTCCTATGCTGTCATCCCTGCAATGAGCACATCTCTCTGTAGGGCTTCCTCTCTCTGTTGCAGTGGACTCAGCATAAGGGACCAGAGGGTTAAGGCACAGCTAGATTTAAAGGGATAATAACTGTTTAGAAGTTTGTACCAAGGTTGCCCAGAGTTCAGTTCTGATTTGATGAAATAACTTTGATACTGAATGGTTCCAGGTAACAAACCCATGGGGCACAACAGAAACAAAACCAATCCTTTTGATACTCACTCCAGAGCTTTGCTGAATACAGACACTGTGTACTTTCCCATGCGGCTTGAATTTCGAACCATAAAAGCACCTTCTTTCCCCTAAAAATAATAAATGAAAAGAAAGGGAAACATCATGCGAAACATCCACTATCTGAGAAATATTTTGAAATTTTGCCTAGATGCGTGTTCCTTTAAACTCTCTTTGGATTTCCAATGTCTCAGTATATCTGGGGGGCCAAACAGATAGATATTCAGAACATATTCATTATCAGGCAATTTGTAATGTGAGAGGCAGGTAAATCCTATTGCCCCTCCTCTTTTCTATCCTCCAACTTTTCACTCTCAAATTTTGCTTTTCACTATAGGTAGGTGCTGTGATTTTGGTTTCCACCATGGCTTTCTTAGCAGTACCTGTAGTGGTGGCATTGGTCTTGTGCTTCATTTGATTGTTGTGTGGCTGGAACAAGTCCAGCTGCGGCTAAGATTCAGTGCTGCAAGGTGCTGCAAAACCTCATGTCCCATTCAGCTCAATAGGATTCGGGACCATTCAATGTCTGATCTGGACATAGGTATGTAGTCCTGCTACTGGTCCCCCTTCCCTCCTAGAAACACACAGTGGTTCACCATGATTCTACTTCACTTCTGAGCCCTTGGGGCAGGCAGCTGAGAAGGAATGTAGGGGCCTGGCTGGGGCGAGCATGGGTGTGAGCTGTGCAGCAGTGCCTGAGCACTAATGCAACAGGTAATACACAAGAAATTAGCATGAAGGGACTTAAGAGGGGTAATAGGGAAGAACGCTAACTGCTGACCTGTCAGGTCTCTGATGGAAAGGAGCATGTCATTGCCATTGTCTAATTGTCCCCATTTGTTCACATCACAGAACACTCTCCTATCCCCCGGTATCCTCTTACTGGCAGTCTGGACACAAAAAAGACCAACATCTGAAATGGCAATTTAGGGTCTTGCATGCCAGGAGTGAAATTCATTGGCAGAGCTTCAGGTCCCCTTCATTCACTCGCAACCTTTTTGAAACCTAATTACTCCTACATCTTCATACTAAGATAATTTCTATTTGAGATTCTACCATTCTCACTTTAAAGAGCATTAGCACCCTCTAGACACAAGGAACAGCAAAAACAACAATTGACGCAGAAACATTTGGAGAGAGGTTTAAGCACAATTACTAAAGATATTTCTGGTACCTTCTGTCGCAGGAGTTGCTCTGACTGGGCCCTGGAGAGATCACCTGCATACCAACTGCAGCAAGAAATATTGTTTACAGCACGGTTTCTGAATAACTGTTTGGCAACACAGACTGATGAAAAACTCTTACAAGATGCTTCATTTTCAAATCTGCTTTTAAAAAGCCAAAATATCTATCTGACATAGTCCTGATAGTAATAGTACTTGATCACCTCACAGTTTTTAATGCATTTATCTTCACAACACCCCTATAAGGCAAGGCAGCGCTATTATCTTCAGTCTTCAGGTGGCAAACTAAAGCACAGAGCAACTAAAAAAATTGCCCCAGGTTACACATGAGTGTCCTAGCCAAATTCCCTAGCCACCGAAGCATTTTGCCTTTCTGGTATAGATCAAGATACATTTGCTAGTTACATGTGATTTCTAAGGTAACAATTAAGTGTGATCTTGAAATAGGTGAAAGTACAGGATGAACAAATAAATATATTCTGAATTAGCCTCTTAGAACACTGAGACTCACTGCTGTTTATTCCACACAGATGATACCTATAACGTTACATTATTAACAGTAGATCACAGGACACTCAGGACCAAATTTGGAAGCTCACTCCCAAATGCTCAGATATTTAAATACCCATTTAGATGTATTATTCTGGGGAAAGTAAGAGTGTAAGCAAACTGTGGCTTCCAGGGAGCCTTCCTTTATCCATTAAGATTGTCCCTTGAGAGGCCACGTGTAAGGTAACAATTGACAGTTTTCAAACACAAAGTTCCTTAATGGTGTTTTTAATAAAAAAAAACTCAGATCATTAAAAATTTAACATCTGGGGTGACCGCTGCCTCTCCATATTCTCTGTGTAGGGTCTTGGGGTCACTGACATCATGTAAGTAGCCCCATTCCTGTGGCTCTCCTCACCCTGACTTGGATCTCAGCATGGCACCCTGCTCTGCAGCTTTCAGAGAGTGAGGATTCTTTTTCTCTCTCTCCCCCACCACCATGGAGAGCCCTTCATGCACCCCATCATGGGGAGACTTTCAAATGAAACGCATCAACTGTTGTCACTCCTGCACATTTGAACCCCTTTGTGATAGCCAGGCTTTAACGGATATAATCTGTTAAAAATGTGAAAGCTCCCAAAGGAAGGAGACAGATACTTCCCATATGTTTTCAAAAGAAAATCCCCTCAGCCTTCTCATGGGTGTCTATCTTTTGTGTACATGCCACTTTATCAGGGTAGCAGACAGGCTTTTCTTAAAAGCATTCCCATCCACTGACTTGTTGGATGAAAACAGAGTCATTCCACTGGAAGATTATTAATAATAAGGAAGATTTGTATTGCCAAAGGATTGAGAGGAGGATAAATGCTTGAGCATGCTAGGTCCTGGGCAGACATCTAATAGAAAGGTCATCCTAGTCTCAAAGGTTTACATATGAAAATGCTCCACATGCTCACTCATGCGTGACAATGTTCTCCTCTTCTTCTGATGAAGC